ATTTTCCCGTAACGACCTCACTCTCGGTTATTAAGTAGTTCGTATTGAATTGCAGTTGGGGGAGACCTTTTCTCTCATGACAGCTGCTACATTTGCCAGATCTTGTTTCCCGGTCCATGTTTTACGGGAGGTTTTGGCGAACGCCAATTGAGTTTGTTTCTATAGAAACGCGAACCTGGCCGGAAAGAACGTGGAGGATTGTAAAGATGCTACTCAAATATTCTATTCTTATCACATGTTTTGCTCTTCTTGAGTTAAACTCGGTTATTGGTACAAGAAATGACAACGGTTTAAAAGGAAGGTCTGCAAGAGTCAACCGTTTTCACATATTTCTAAAAGGTAATTGTATTGCTATTTTTCACTGAGAACAGTCATTTGCTAACTGGTGACGTTAACAAAGCAATAGGTATGCATGTAACATCTAGTTAAAGGACTTCATGCTAAATTAACAAAGCCACAGCTAGTTTGGTTCTCGTGTTGAGTTATTTCTGCCAGGCTGTTAAAATACGCGGCTTGCCGGCCTCTGGGATGTGAGCCAACAAGATTGTTCATGTTTTGGGGGCGATCAGGCGAAAAAAGACTGGATTTAATTTAACATATATATATATATATATATAGCGAGGCAGAAATCATGTTATGTATTACGATGCTAACCGAAACCCGTCTTGTCTTGTCGAGAAGTTAAGACTGTTAAGCTCACTACATATAAAAACCTGCAACCAAATGGTCCTTCTACTGACAGAGAAGATCAGTTGTAGACAGCGCGTCTGCAAGTCGGCACACCATCTTAAATCAGAAGTGGCGAATGGTCCTTCAAAAACTCTGGGTCTCGCAAAATTTTAGTCGAATTTCACGGGTCTCGCAGTCTCGCTTTTTTAGCGATTATGTGCGTCTCGCGGTCTCGATTTTTATACGAAGCTCTCTCGGAGTTTCGACTTTTTACAAGGTTAAGGGTTTCGAAGTTTCGATTCGTTTGTTTGTTTTAATAAATGACGTCTTCTCGTCACTTGATATTGAATTTCATTAAAGCAACTTTCAAATTTCCGAGAAAAAGTTAATCCTAACTTCTGCCAAATTGTCTGAATTCCACAAAAAGCTATAAAACTTACCGCAACGTCATTTTGGCCCCAAAATACGGTTATTGTTTGCTAGGATATCCTAGCGTAGTCTGTTATAGTCGAATTTCCAGTTTCAGCATGTTTGCAAAGACTGGCTAAAAGGTTAAAAGGGGAATCAAGAAGCCACATACATGACACACAACCCACGATAGCTCATGATGAAACCCACGAAGTGAAGAACTTATCTGTTGTCCCCTGTGAAAATGTGTAAAGGCACAAGTATTTACGTTCTCGCTCATTCTTATAGCTCTCAACTAAATCTGGGGCTCGAATTTCTGAGCCTCTCGCGCTCGCACTCAAAACACTTTAAAGTCTCGGTCTCGCTATCTAAAAAGTCAATATCTCTCGGGCTCGCAAAGAAAAGCGCTTTTCTCGCCGTCTCGCAAAGTCTCGCATTTACTATTCACCACCCCTTAAATCGCTTAATCCTTCCCTCCTATAATTGTTTCATTTGACCGAAAATTCTCTCAGTGTCCTGTAAACCGAAAGTTACTCCATCGCCATGAAGAAATTGTAACCTGAATAGTTGATTCCTCGTCCCACTATCATCATCTAACACCCCTCTCAAAACATCATGGTCAACAATTTCTTTATCTTTCCAGACTTCAAAGTTTTGCCGACCAAGGAGGTATCACCCACACCAAGTCAACAGTACGATGCCTTGTTACAGATGCAATCGACAATCCAGTGAATAGGGCAAACACCTGTCCATTTGGCTAAAATTTGGCGCGGCCTTCTTCACAAATTAATCATACGAACCGTTTTCACTAGATAAGTCGGAGTTATCATGAGGAGATTCAAGGTATTCCTTTTTAAACGTGTTATTATCATCACACTTTGTGTTCTTTTACCCTACTACGCGAGTCTGCGTATTAAATGGAAACAAGTCCTGAATCTAATACCAGAACATACTGATTCCTGTGGCACTAAGCAGCCTTTTACTTCATATGAATCAAAAACACAACATCAAAATCACGAACATGAAGGAGCGCAAACGGCAGTCGTCTTGAAGACACGAAGTGAACAGTTTGACATCAAAACACAGTACAGGGAAGGAAATAAGATCAAACAACAACAACAACAACAACAAATGCCTTCTACAAGAAAGAATGTCATTATATTGAGTCAAGGTAGAGGAGGGTCCTCTTTCCTTGGAGGGATTTTCAATTGCAATCCTCAAGTAATGTACTGGTTTGAGCCTCTTTTTAATGTTGGAAAATTATTAAATGTGAACGTGTTTATGGAAAAGGAGCCGAGCACATACAAAGACATCTGTCTTCAGTTAATCGATAGCTTTTTCAAATGCGATTTTAGTAATCTAACGAAAGCGACTTTATCAGAACTATCAGCCAGCGGATTTCGGATTCATAGTAATGCATTGACTAGCGGGGATTTATGTCCTGACAAGCCCAAGTCTAACAAATGCGCTTCTTTCAAAACAACATTGCTTAGCAAGGCCTGTAGCTCTTACAAGCATACAGTTATCAAAATTTTAAGTCCTCGTTTGCCAAACAACACAGTACAAAGTCTTCGAGAACTTTTCACTCAGCGGAACAGATATGATGTGAGATTCATTAACTTGGTCCGGGATCCTAGGGCTGTAGTTTATTCCTGGGTGGAGTCAAACTGGATCAAGAATCACTCAGATCAAGAGTTTCGTGGAAATGTTCATAAGATTTGTGATCCCATAGAGAACAATGTACGATATGGTTTGATTTCTGCCCCTTCCTGGCTAAAAAATCGCTTCAAAGTAATTCGCTACGAAGACCTTGTGGTCAATACTACAAAGGTAGCACGGAAACTATACAGATACGCGGGAATTGACTGGTCGATAGACGTTGATAAATGGATAAGTGATCATCAAATGGGGCTGAGCAATGCGCGGGTATATAAGAATCCGTATTCCCTGTTTAAAAATGCTTCATTTGCTATTAATAAGTGGAAAACACAAGCTTCAAAAGAGATGATAAGACTCGTGGAAGATGTCTGCGACGGTTTGATGAATATTATGGGTTATAGCAAATGGAACAAGGGTGACAGATAACTTTATTTCGATATCATTCGTTGAGAGGAAGGTTAGTGTTCCGGTTTGTTAAAATGGATCAGGTGGTAAATACTTTAATTAAATTGAAAAACTCGGCGCCAAACTTCCCGTTGTAGAAGAGTTATCCCTTCTTCCCTCGAATTTTCCCCCCAAAATATCTGTTCCCTTGAAGTAAACGATCGTGACCTAGCAGCCTCTTTTCCCAAACACGCCTGCGGGGCCCTCATTTGTTTGTGTACAGAGCAAAACGTACTGAGCTGTACCATGAGCGGCAGCAAACATCAAAATTGCATAATACCTGAGTTGCACGGATTTTGTTTTTAGAAATCTGCGGCAAAGAACCTCGATACTTCAATAGCTTTAGTTAAAAGATCTAGCTAATGTCCTAATATTGTAAGGTTTTTGCCTCTGTAATTTCCTACATGTAGTTCTTGAAATGAAGATTCGGAAATATTTCAGGTTTGTTCTACAACCGAGTCACACTGTTTGTGAGCTGGTAGCCTAGCTTATGGCAGCTTTCGTCTGACTTATTAAAAGGAGGGTTGACTAATAACCGGGAATCTAGGAAGTGAATTTAATTAGATCTTGTTCATCTCTGAGAATTGTAACGAGGAAACAGAACTACTAACAAAGTAAAAGTATCGAATAACTATTAAAGAACACGAACCTTCACCAGTCCCAGGCGGTCTGTTTTTCTCTTTTTGTCGTGGGATTTAAATTTTGTTCAAAAGGCTTTTTGAGTGGGCTTTTTTTCCCAGGGGTTTATTACAGGACCGAATCTAAGCCTGCAAGTGACATTAACACATAACAAGCTGTTCGATCATCAGGTAGGCCATTATAGGGAATGAATGAATAATGAATGAATGAATGAATGAA